GATCGCGGGTAGCTGATGCGGTGCCGTATGGCGTAGCAACGCCCTGTGTTTCTGCGATCCGTATTTGTGCTCGCCAAAGATGGATTGAGTGGCGAGGTGTGGCGTCTACGATGAGGTGCTGGATGGCGTTGCCGAAATGGGGGTGCGATGTTATTTCCAGTAATCTGGAAAAGGCGGTTTGGGTCCATTGGAGGGTGTGTTGACGGAAGAAACGGTCTTTGAACACATGGGAGGTTTGTTTGCTGAGGTATGGGCTGCTGAGGCGGAGTGAACGGCTGTTTGGGAGGTCCAGGTAGGTGGTTATGTGCTCGATCAATTCGGTGGGCAGGTGTGACAATGCCATCGCTCTCAGTGCTATATCCTACGATGATCTATGAGACAGATGTTGATAAGATGGATGAGGCAATCACCGAACGTCTGTGGAGGCAAAGAGGCGGGGAACCTGCTGCATGTTGACGATGCACTAACTGTTTCGGGTATCGTACATGCATTATTCGGGAAGGCACGATGTACTGCGCATGCTTAATCTCATTCGTCTTGTATTTTGTTCTGCCGAGTTCCACTAGTATTGACTCTCCACAAAAAATGTTTCCTTGCGACCGTTTTGATATGTACAGTTGTGGCAGTAAAGTAGCTCTTTCAGGCCTGCAGGTATCCACTGCATAAACGAAAAGAAGAGGACTAGCAATGCCTTGTAAACTCCATCCATTGCTCCTGTTTCCAACTCCTAATCACCATTCTAATCGCTATCACTATCGCTCTCACTATCGCTATCACTGCGGCTGTCACTGTCGCTGCTTCCCGATTCGCTGCTAGAGCTGCTGGCGCTCTTGGCAGAAGTCGCGTTGTCTGATCCAGAATCCGAGTCGCTGCCGTCATCAGAGTCGGAGTCTGAACTGTCCGAGTCGCTACTGTCCGAGCTGCTCTCATCGCTCGACACTTCTGTCCTGCGCTTCCGCTTCCGTGCAACGGGCTTCGCTGGCTCCACATGCTCCATCAAAGGGTTGATGCTAGATCTTGGAGTCACTGCTGGCAGTACGGGCTCAGCGCGACCCAAAGCGTTCAGGAGCGCCTCAGCTCGTCGCCTTTGCAGACGTCGAATGAACCCGGCACTGTACTCGTGTTCTCCAAGGTCTGTGATGTCGCCTTCTGTCTTTCTCCTCTTCCGCTCCTTGAGGATGCGCTCCTGTTCTGCGTCCTCCCGCGCGACCTTCTTGGCTTCCGCGTCATTCATCTGGGCGTCTTGCTCGTCGATGTCTTTTACTGTTGCCCTGCAACGTTCGCGCAGACGTTCAATCACACCAGCTCCTTGAAGACCAGCGATGTATTCAACAAGGGCCTCAGAATGCTCGTTAGGAATGCGAAAGATGTTTAAGGCGTTATCAACAACGTCGTTTTGTTTCGCTTTGTTGAACTTCCAGTTGTCGCGATCGTAGTGGTACTGCCTGAGATAGGCAATGTATACCGAAGGATCCTTCTTCTTTCCCTTTGGCGCAGCTGCAGATGCAGGTGTAGATTTAGCCTCGGCAGGTTTCGACGTAGGCTTCGGTGCTGCTTGTGGTGTCGGCTTCGACTGCGGTTTCGACTTCTCTTCCGGTTCAGCGTCTGGGGTCTTCGAACTGGTGGCTTCTTTGGCTTCTGCTTCTGTCGCTGGTTTCTTGTCTAGCTGTCCGTTCCTTCTCGCCGCCTTCTGCTCCTCAGCAATGATTGAATGGAGTACAAAGTTGGAAACTTCTGGTGGCTGGGAGACGGGTCCAGTTCCCTTTTGTTCGGCAACCCAGGCTTTGAAATAATCCTGGCCTGTATTCCCGTCGGACCGTTTGGTATCGGGGGTGAATGCGACTGATTTTCTCACGTCTGTCAGTGGGGGTGAGTCGGAGGGCTCCTTGCGGCTGGATTTCTTGGGGAGCTTTTGTGGTGTTGTGGCGGCGGCTGGGTTGGCGTGGTCCAACTCAGTGGAGGCAAGTAAAGTTGGACGCGCTGTCGCGTACGCTGGCTCGTGAGGGGGGTGAGTGGAGCTTGGCTTGGGACGCGTCTTGGGCTGAGAATCACCCTCTTTTTCCTCTCTCCGGCGTTTGGCTGGCTTCTCTTTCTTCTTTCGATAATTCGGATCTCCTCCTTTGAAGGGCTTGTTTGTTGCTGGAGTCTGTTCCGCGGGAGCCTCTGGCTCGACATCAAAAGTCACGACTGGAAATTCGTTACTAGTAGCTCCGTTGACGTCGCTTTCCGTGGTCTCAACCCGACTCTTCTTGGCATCCTGTTGATGATCCTCAGCTGCCTCATGTTGGTGTTTCCGTTTGCCAAGCTTTGAGGATTCGCCATTTACGGCACGCTTCTGGGATGGAAAAGCTTGCGCAGGATAGTCTGTAGTTGTTTGGTGGTGGATCGATGGTGTTTTACGTTCAGGTACGGCGTCTCCGGACTCGGCTTCTTCTTCGTGCCTCAGTTTGAGCCCTAGCCGCCTCCAAGCCGGGATGTAGCCCGGTTCAAACACATTAGCCATGATCAGATGCGGAATATGGATATCTGTATCAAAGAGTTAAATCGCATCGCGCATGACCGAATCAGCTGGAGCAGAGCGTCCTGTCAGGAGGGAAAGGTCGAATGAGAGGTCGCAGGCAGAGAATTTCGGGGCTGATCTAGGAAGGCACAGACCAAGTGACGGCGATCCCAGAGCTCCAGGCCACAAGCAACGCGTGTAGTGACAGCCAACGCCGACAACCTCGCCTTCAACCCCCAGACCGCGCCCACCGAGCTTACGCAAATCTCCGGAACCCGTTGCTGCAGCTGAAGCCGCCAATTACAAATACACAGATCCACCACCGCCCATCATGTCTGGTGCGTTGAAGCTATAACCTGGGGTTTGCCGCATACATGCTAACAGGGACCTCGTCATACAGGAAGCGCAGGCTACGACAGACACATTACCATCTTCTCGGACCAAGGTCGTCTATACCAAGTCGGTACGCATCCCGAGCTATTCACGCCGCCCGAGCAGCGATAGACCCCGCGACTTCCTGGAGGAGCCACGACTAACACGACATGCAGAGTATGCATTCAAGGCGATTACGGCAGCAAACATCACATCATTGGGCGTGCGGGGCAAGGACTGCGCAGTAGTCATCTCGCAGAAGAAGGTGCCGGTACGTATGGCAAGCACGACGGGCCGCACGAGGTGCTGACGTATATACACAGGACAAGCTCATCGACCCCTCCTCCGTATCCCACATCTTCCGCCTGTCGCCCTCAGTCGGCTGTGTCATGACCGGATCCATCGCCGATGCGAGAGCCTCCGTGAGCAGAGCGCGGGGTGAGGCTGCCGAGTTCCGCTACAAGTACGGCTACGAAATGCCCTGCGACGTACTGGCAAAGAGGATAGCCAACATCAGCCAGGTCTACACACAGCGCGTAAGTGGCGATGCATGAAGAAGGTGCGACTGGATGCTAAGCAACGTGCAGGCTTATATGCGACCGCTCGGTGTGGCCACGACCCTCGTCTCCCTCGACTCTGAATTCGGCCCCCAACTCTACAAGTGCGATCCAGCTGGCTACTACGTAGGCTACAAGGCAACAGCCTCTGGGCCCAAGACGCAGGAGGCGCTCAACTTCCTCGAGAAGAAGCTGAAGAACAAGGAGCATGCTGAGGGCAACTGGGAGGAGGTTGTCGAGCTGGCCATCACCGCCTTGAGCACCGTCCTGTCGGTCGACTTCAAGAAGAACGAATTGGAGATTGGCATCGTAGGAGGCCCCAAGACCAACGGCCAGGAGGGCACAGACTCCGCCTTCAGGGCGCTCACCGAAGAGGAAATCGATGAACGACTACAGTCAATCGCGGACAAGGACTAAGGAAGGAGCACTGCCCGTGGAGCTGGAACGGCATGTGGGTCGCTGAGGTATGACTGAGACGAACCATGACGATAACAACAGATAGCATGATACGACCTCTCAGACGTCAAAAGTGCTCCAGCAGCACCATGAATGAAGACGTTAGACTGTACTCTCCTGCATAAGCGCAACTGTGACGAAGCGGCCGGTCCTGGGACAAGAAACGTGTGGTGAGTTCAGCCATGACTCCACTTGGTCTCGCCCATGACACCAGATTCCCATACTGCCTCAGCTGCAACGGTCTGCAATAACTCGCGAACTGCTCCATCGACGTCATGCTACTGGCTCCTAGTCGTCGGAGTGCCCAGCACAGCCGTCGCGTGGCTGACCGTGGCTTACCGTGGCTTTCGCGAGCGTTGTTCGACTTTGCGCGCACGTCAACCCTACGCCGGCACGCACTTCCAGGTTCATACTCAGCGGACAACCACGCGAAGACCGCACCACTAATTATAAGCATCGTCCAATCAGAGCGGATGCTGCGGCTGAGATACACAGCTTGGCCTTGATGCCTTACCCGATGCAGCCTACCAGGGCTGGCTCGCTAAACTACTTCGCTCGATGTGGCGCTTTTAGGGCTGCTGAAAAGGTCCAGCACAACGCTGCTCATTCCAGCTGGAGAGCAAACGTAGCGGAGCATCGAAAAATAGGCATGGTTAGATGCAGACGCACGGTTCCTGCATGTTTGGCCATCCCGTTGTAGTGGAGACTGGTACTGACGGTGATGCTACTATGCCGATTCTCACACCTCCTCACAAGCCTCGAGCTGCCGAATGCAAGGTCCTGAGTGGTCCACCAGGCCAGGGCCCTAGTACAGCTGGGAGCTACTCACGTTCCCAAAGTGGGACGTCCTTATGGTAGCGGCGGGAGCAGCCCTGCAGGCATGGCTATTCCTACCTTACGCTATCGAGAGCCTTGCTCATGAACACTACCACCACCATCATCATCATCGTGAATACATGTCTCCTACATGCTATTTAATACTCGCCACGCCGCCTCAATTCACCCATCCACGCCAGCAAGCCTAGTTCTCTTCTACTATCTACGACTTACTTCTTATTAGTCACTTCATCAATCTGTCGCCAGTCGATCTTCATTTCAAAAAAACCGAAGCTACCATGTCTGACGGTCGTAAGGCTCTCCCTACTCTAGGAAAATAATTTCATCCTCCCAGCACCCCCAATTCATACGACTGATCAAGACACAAAGACTGACTTACATATAGTCAACGATGCCCGTGCCATGCGCATTGCAGAGATCATGACCGACTTCCGCAACCTCCAACACTACCTCGTCCAGTTACGCGCCACTCCCACAGCAGAAGAGTATTATCTTGAGGGTTACTCTCTGCTACGACAATGCACCAGCGAGGCACAGGCTATCCTACAGACACCCTTTTCTGGCAGTGCCAGCACGGGCTCAGGGGATCCGGAGGCAGAGAAGCAGCAACTGAGAAAGTAGGTCACTTTCTCCTGCCTATTTCTCTAATGAGGGACTGCAGCAGTTAGCACGAAAGAGGTGTTTGACGAGTTCTAGCATTATCACAGACGCCGCTGTGCGACGCTTCCAATGCCAACGCGCTTACCTACGAGCCCACGCTGGCCTGCGGTGGATGAACACCCGCAACAGCGTCTTGCGTGGCCAGAGGCCCAACGCGAGCCATCTGGGTGCACTCCAGCAGGCTGATGCTACGATGAGAAATGTACGTTGAATGTGCCATTCCCCTATTCCACTTCGAGATTGGAGGAGAGGGATTCAGAAGCGATGAGAAGCACCAGGCTGGGAAGATTGCATGCTAGTTTACTAAGTTCTAAACTGACTACTGGGCCGCAGGAACTCCTCGCAATCAGCGATGCCTATGTCGAAAACACGCTGCGCGCCGCAGACGCCTCGCAGGGCAAGTGGCTCAATGAAGATCCTTCGCTGGCACAGATCCAACAGATACTTATGACTCGACGTTGAGCATTTACGATCCAACAACACTGCCCGGAGCTCTCCATCAGATTGAGAATATTACCGCCATCCTACGAATACGCCCACTCCCACATCATACTGCAGCGGATTCGGTCCTCCGCTCTTCATCGTTTCCCCGCACACGTCTCCTCCGGCGAGTCTCTATTGGCAAGACATGCCTACACATCGCGACTCATTGTTCAGGCTTTTCGAATACTACTCTTCTAGTGCTGGTCACACGGTTTGGGAAGCACATACACTTTGTTTCTTTGGGGTAGCCCTGGATGACAGCCTACTTTAGCGTTGGCGTTGGCGTCTTGAATCATTTTGGTGCATGGGACATGTTACGCTCTTTTGGAAGGCACAAGCGACCGGTCGGCAGATATGCATGCGAAGTGATGGCAAAGCATGGCAAAAGCACAGGAAAGTTCGGGTAAAGTTGACCAAGGAACAGTTGTTCGGGCGTTTCCTCTATTCTTCTTCTCGCTCTTTTGTCAATTGCGGCTTTTAGGCTGTATCCCCATGTCCTAGTTCCTTCTTGAGTTGTTTCCTTTCTTTCTCTTACTTTCTTCTTTTCATGTCAATAATTCTAGTTACTATTGGTATTTTAAGCACGTCAACACCATCTCATGAACACGAAAACGCACACAAGCCTGTTACTAACCAACCCCTCATCAAGAAACGATTGTGGAACCTGGAGCGATATGGGTACTTCGAACTAACCGCCTTTAGCGTTGTGCACTAGCTTTCAGCTTGACAGGCACATGGCCAGATCGAACCCGCACCGTCGAATCCCACACTGCGGAGCCGACCGATTATGCACGTGGATGCAATGCAGCAGGGCTTTTACCAAACGGTTGTTCGTAAGGCAGATACCTTAGCGTGGCATCAATGCTATGGACGTCATACACTAGGCAGGGCTGAGTGAGGAGTAATGGAGGCTCTAGCAGTAGCATGGACATGTGCTAATGTGCTTCCTCACGAATCACAACGCAGCGCAGCCTCTCCACGACACAACCCCATGGCGCAGAATTAGCAACTGGAAACTTTCCATTGATCGCACAACGCGGCCATCATCACACATTATCACGCGCAATCATGCATCGCCCAGCATCAAATCCCACATTCCCCGTTCCATGCATTCGGCATCGCCTTAACAGACCAGGATTATATCCCAGGGCAGCTCGCTTACGCCATCTTCCCGCGCACTTGGCCTGATTGCGGCCTAGGGGATCGTCGGAGTTCCCGAAGTTGGCGGGCTTAGCGTGCGAAGCCACGCTTCGGTACCAGTACCGGACGAATATCATGTGCGATGAGTGTCGTGGGATCGATGCACGATGGCTAGTTACAGATGGCTACAGGGCGGGGTGCAGTGCAGAAGGTGTTGACGGGAGGTAGGACGAGGTTCTGGCGCGGTCGCAGAAGGTGGCGTGGAATGCTGAGTGCGATGGGTCGCGATTGGGTGGGCTTGGGGGTTTGCATTTGATGATGACGCGTCATTTTTATCTTACTGCTTCGTCGTATGAGATGCTATCAGCAGTCAGAGCAATCATTGTGGGCTTCTACCTGAACTTTCATGAGTTGCGTAAGCGAAATGCTGGATGTCTCCGCAAAAGCACTCGATCGGCTCCTGGAGATGGCCGGGTCCAACTCGACACTTAAGGAAATATCAAGGCATCCTACGAACGCGACACCATCGGTACTGAACAAGATCCGGTGGTGAGAGCTTGGAAAGAGGCCGACTTTGATGTAAAGCAGTACGAAATGAGCCGCAAAGACTACGGCTGGGGCAACAGAGCTGTATAATGGGTTCTAGCGGTGCGTGGTATCGACATTAGGGCCAAGAAGACTCCGTGACAGCTTGAGAGAGGGTGCGTGAGGAAGGCAAGTCTTCCTTCACTAACTGAAAACGACGAATGGGCCGCCTGAGAGGGCTACATATTTTTTAAACAAAGCTATGCGGCTTCAGACGCGCTATACGTATCCTTCTCACCCCTCTGACTCCCCCAGAATACTTTATGAATTACGGCATGTACACTCCGGGAGCCTCTATCGAGGTCACGCCAAAACCTCTTCTGTGTCCTGGCCTCATCATGGCTCCCAAACCCCCTACTAAAGGCTAGACCCCGTAGAGTCGCGCGAGATAACTTACCCTGAGGTGCCAATCTCAATGAGACAGATCCTGGGTAAGATGACTTTAGGGCCGCTGGTCAATCCTTCCAAGTTTGGCTGTGACGGCAAAGCCATCAACACCATTCACTGCTTCACGGCCATTCTCAATCAGACTCAATACTCCACCAACTCGAACTGTGTGGGGTCACATGTACCTCCCATCAGGGAAGTGTTCGACTTCATCCTCAGCCTCGAAGCAGAGGACCACTACGCGAATGGCAACTTCGGTGAATTGAACCGTACCTTTCCTTTCAAAGTCCTAAAGGCCTATTTCAAGAAGCATTTTCGCCACAACACGTTGCCGGTCATCACTCGACCTCGGCGCGGCAAGCAGCTCAACACTTACCTACGAGACCTACAGTACCGCTTCCGTGTGAAGTCTACCGCCCCGAGCAACATGTATCAAGGAACCATTATTAAGGATATTTTGGCGGGAACCGAGTGGCTGAAGCAGATTGAGAATAAGCTGCCACCGCAACCCGGCCTTGCCTCCATGCGTCGCTGGCGGTCAACCTACCGACTACTTCGACAACTGCCCCGACCTTTGGCGCATCAAGCGCATGCGTATCGACTACAGGGAAGCATGGGCATCATGTATACAACACCCTTACTAATGCTGGGAGTATTCGTGTAGCTGTTACCCCCTTCAGGTTACCCAGCTTGATCGCCGGAAGCAGTCATTCCAAGCTTCCACAACCGCCCTCGACATCATAAACAACTCTGAAGGACACATAGGGCCCGGTCAAGGTTACAAGCAGTCATCACTAAAGACTGGAGAAGATACAGGCTGGAATCGCATGCGGGTGTCGCCACATAACCTACCCGGAGAGTATTCAGTGTTGGTCAACCCATCACCATGCTTCCGCCAGACTTCAAGCGGAGGAACCCGCTCAGGGTGCGACCTTTCCAAGACTTCGATGACGCCGCCCCACCGCCATCCAATGCTCGAAACAGGCTCTTGAACATGGTTCATGAGACTGGAGGGTTTAACCCAACTTGGAGGAGAAAGAAGGTTGAGGAATGCATCGCCCCTAAAGAAGATGACGAACAGAAGCCTTCGAAGAGGAAGCGCAAGAACGGAAGACGAAGGAGGCAAAGGACGTAAGTCCCGCACTTCTGAAAAGTCAGTATGATTCGCTGTGGAGCCTAATACAGGAAGGGCTTCGGGTTGGATCAGATGATCACACAACGGAGTCGGGGATGGATTTTGCAACACCATCGGAGCTTGCCAATGCGAAAGAGCCCATCGTTCTCGACCCACATCAACGCCATGCTATCCATAGGGCCCTCGAGAGATTGCAGGCAGGCCTTCATGGAACCATTGTGGCATACGGCATGGGTATTGGCAAGACGCTGGTAGCCGTAGGATTGTACGCCGTCTTGAAGCAAGACTTCGCCATGCATGGGCGTGATTGGTCCTTGATTGACAAGACAACTTTGGACGAAGGGCATGATTTGCATGAGTTTGACCGCAAGGTGAGCATACAAATAGGGTTTCTGATCGTTGTCCAAGTCGATCTCATTCCCTTATGGGAGAAGGAGCTCCAGGTGCACTTGGAAAACCCTCCAAGTGTTATTATATACTATGGACACTAGTTGTGGTACCACTCCACTGCGCATACTGCAGACGAGCTTGCTGTAGTTGATGTGGTAGTAACATCCTATGAGACGTTACGGTCAGACTACGAAGATGCTATGGCCGCTGCAGCGTCGCACGAAGACTTCTTCAAGACACCGGTTCTCGCACGTTGCCCCACTATGGTTATATACTGGAGGGGCCAAATCTTGGACGAGGCACATAAGATCGCAAACGACAAGACTGGTGTCAACAAGGCTGTAAATCGCGTTTGAGCGTTGATGCGTCTGCTACTTACGGGTACGCCATTCCTTAACGATTACACAGATATCTAGTTCTAGCTGTCGCTGATCAAACTTGAGCCCTGCGACGATCCAAACTTTTTCGCTTCTTATTTCCTGTTACATTCTGCGGCCAACCTATTTGTATACCGCACGTTGTTGGGCGAGTTCAACGGCGTGCTTTCCCTGATATTCAAGTTATGTTCTCTCTAGCTAGATTACGGAGAGGATTTTGAGGGCGGGACGGTTGATTCCGAGATTGATGTGGAATACATTTGACATGATCACGAATTGGAAAGCTGGGAGCGAGACGCGCAAGAAAACGTTCAACAACCGTGGTTTGGGACCAACGAGCTGGGCCAGGGTGAAGCGGCAACAGGTGCGAAGATATCCTTAAGCTTATTATAGGTGAGATCGGACCCTGAAGGCGGATCAGTACGGCAATGACGTCATAGCGAGCGGACCTTGCGACACGTTCGTTTTGATCATGTATTCCCTCCGACTCTACCTATCTTACAATTCAGGTTTTGTTCAAAACAGCCGTTTTTCAACATCCTCAATCGTACCCCCATGCTCTATTAACATATGTAGTCGATCGCTGTGCGCTCAGCCTGACTTGCCAACAGCTCTTATCCTACCGCCCCAAAACCACAGCACTGCACTTGCTGGTAATCCCAAACCAATCGAGGCGAAACCCAATGCGCTGTTACCCCAACCATATCCCAGACTTTTGTACATGTCAGGCGCAAAAATCGGAAAGACAAATGCGAGGCCATACGAAACAGAACGAATTGCTGCACCAGAGGAAGCTGCGAACTGGCCAAACTCCTCAATCTGGTATGCAATGCTTGCTTGGTTCACGATGAAGCTACCCAGCGTGAAGATAACAACACCGAAATCGACCATCACCCAGTGGAGTGTGCGCTCGGCCGACCACCCATACCAGAAGAGACCGGCTGGCATGATCATCATTCCTGGAACCATGTAGGGGATGCGAAACTCAGGGACGCCTTTTCCATCAGTTCGTTTAGCCTGTTTTCGATACGACCAGTCCATGATGCGGCCACCCAGTTGACCACATAGGGTCGAGCCTATTGCAACCGAGAGATAATGCAAGCTGCCGACAAGCTCAGAGTCACCGTATTTGTCGATCCACAGCGAGGCGTAAGTAGCGAGCATGAGTGTATAGACGGCAAAAGACAACGTCGCCGTCAGTGAGATGAGCCAGGTGATAGGCCTTGTCATAAAGATGCGAATTGGACGTAGAAGGTTCTGCGCAATGCGAGCACGCTCAGCTTTGGTGGTTAGAACATTACCACCCTCGGCTAAGGCTTTGCGGCGTAGCAAGACTGGTGTGTATGATTCGCGAATCAAGAAGAACCCAACGATCAGGACGACGGCATTGAAAGCACTCATGATCCAAAAGACCCACGACCAATGGAGGGAATGGGTAACAAGACCACCGATGATTGGTCCGAGAGCAGGACCAAGAAAGGGAAGTAGGGTCACCATGGCCAGCGATTTGCCGCGTTCGTTCTCGCCATACATATCTGCCATGACTGGCCCATTCAGCTGCGAAAGATCAGCCACTGTCATATCGGCATTGCTCGGGCTCATCACTTACCGTTACGCCTACACTCGCACCAGCACCTGTCATAAACCTCCCAACGATCATCAAGCCAGTGTTCCTTCCCACAGGACAAAGTGTGTTCCAGGCCACGTACCAAGCGTTACATATCAGCCAGATTGGCTTCCTTCCCCATATCTCACTGGCGCTTGCGATTAAGAACGGCGCGATGCCCATGCCAAGGAAGTATACCGACATGGTTATCTGTGCAGTAGAAGCGCTGATGGTGAGATCGGAAGCGATGGCAGGAAGCGACGGTGCAATCATGCTTGCAGACATTATGGGTATCAGCTGGCCGAAAGAGAATATAATTCCCATGGTGATCTTGCGTGAAGCTTGCCAGTTGTAAGGATCGGAGGTGTCCGTGGGTGACGCCCATGTTGACTAATTTGTTAGCAAGAATTGATCAAAGTAAGACATTAACATACTCCGTATTCATTCTTCAACCGCACCAGGCGGTCGTTAATATCGTCAGTGGTCCAAGACGTTATCTCCGGGTCTTCCCCGTCACGGGCTCGATGCTCAGTTTTGAGTATGCCCGGTGCCGGACCACCAACAATCCCATCGACAGCTTTCTCAGGGTCTTTGGAATGACACATATGTATGAATATCGTCAGCGAGAATTGCATATATCCAATAAACCGTGACGCGCTTTGCGTACAGTATATACGATGTTCGCTCGGAGTTCGGATCTTGGCTCTTATCAGATCGGAATGAGCCCAGGCCCCCCATCCCGATTGTTGCCTAGCAGGATCTGATAAAGTGTCAGTCCTCCATGCCGCCGCTGATGCTCTGACCTTCCTATTCCAGTTAGAACGAGGCTGGCAGTGATATGTGTTTACTCGTGGCCCTTGTATTAGCCACTTAGGTGGTTGATAGACTCAGATTCGGATACATCTATGGACGATGTCTCCGGCCTCTACCTTGTCCATCCCTCAAGAACGAATCATCCCTCAAGAAATTGGCCGCGTTCTACATATCCTTCAGAGTCGATTATGATGCCGAATGTGGACATGGGAGGCTTTAATTGTCTGCTTTCGGCTTACTAGGTTGTGATACGGTGGTCTGCTGGGCAGTATTCTATACAAAAGAGAAAGAAATAGTTGGGAGCGTCTGAACGACTTCGTTCACTCTGGAGCCTACATTGTTGTTAAAAGAGACAAATGGAAAGTTTAGTAGCAATGTAGACTCCTAGGTCAATTCGAGGCCTGCTTACAGCCGAATGTGCTTTCTACATCCTCACAAAGCAGATGTGTGTTGAAAACTCCCACGAGATGAAGTGACGGCAGCTTTACAGGGCAATCGCGGCGAGCAGCCAAACTCTGAGCTACGGCATGAGGCTACGAGATCATTTGGGATACGAGAATCTCCAAAGTTCAGTTACAGAAGGCGCAGTACAGTTGCTAGTGTTGTGACAACGGTAAGAGTTCTATCGCAGTCGCCTGTACAACAGACATTTGATCAAAGACTCATAACACCAGGACTCATCGACTCGTCGAAGGTATCCTTTCCGTAAAGCAAGAACTCCATGTCGGTGACATTATGTATGTCGCTCTGATTCCTCCTCCAGCATCTTTAACAAACATCATATCCTCTGTATCTCCTGTTGCCAGCTGTGATGAGTCTGACCCTCCGGGAACATACTACTGACCACCTTCCCCGTCTTCATATCGTAATGTGATCCTGGTGGCAACTGGTTATGCATGCCACCTGGGCTTGTACTGCCGCCTCCACTTCCTTCGTTCTCTCTCGGATCGAGGAACTGTCCATGTCCACTTACACCAGACCCTGGCCGTTGTGGCTGGGAAATGGATCGCTCGCGCCATCGCTGACTTTGCTCGTCTTCCCGGGTGAAACGCTCGTATGGACTGGGCATGCGAACGTCAGGCTGGAACGTAGCGGCGCGCGGCGGGGCGAAAGACGGTGGTTCCCATTGACTTCTTCCCGTAGCTTTCTCTATGTAGTACCATCGTTGGCTCCTTGTGTCGTACTCCTGTATCCAACCCTGTGGCACTGATGGTGCACCGCCTTGCGGAGCAGGGCTGCCGGGGTAGCCACCTTGAGACTGCGGCCGGCCTTGCTGTTGCCCGTGGAGGACCGGCATTGGGTGATATCCATTTGCACGCGGCGGCGATCTGGTTCCGCGTCTCTGTTGCTCGAACTTGTGGATCTGTTTGGTGATGTAGTTGTCTGCGCGCTGTATGTAGGTTTCGAATGACATGGTGGCGTTCGTCTCGTAGATCAGGATAGCGCTAGGCCCGTACCGCGACAACGTTAGACTAAACGAGTAGTAGACGATGGTAATTGTGGTGCGTTTCACACAGCCACAACGGGGGCTTCACGCTATATATGCTCTGCCCAATCCCTTCCCCACGGCGTGCGTAAGCCACTCCTAGCCACATGTCATCAGCAGCTCTCCATCACAATGCAGGACTAGCCGCACCAGCACGCTGCAGAAGTCTCATCAAAATGGCGCCGCAATTTTGAAGCTTAGCATGGCTTCTATGGCGCAGGCCGCCGTGTGATTGGCCAAAGCAGGGGCGGTGCGGAAAGCGCGGAAGTGTGGCTCGCGTGAGGTGGCTTTCGCGCGTCGCTAATTTGCCGATTTCCGTGGCGCATGCGACAGCGAGGGATGTGACACCGAGTTTGCGTAGCACCGAAAGCTATCCGAACCCACAATTTGGCGCATACGAGATCGTGCGCGCAGTCCCTCCGAACCATGAAGAAGAAGCGATGAGTGTTGGTGTCTCGTCGCAGAAATCGTGCTTAAAGTCCATGTCACCATCCTCCCCGTGTCCCTAGATCACTCACCAAAAGGAATGGAAAAAGAAGCCTACCATTTGATGATAGTGCTCAATCATCCCTGGTACCAGTGCTGTAGGGTGAGCCTTTCGTTCAGAACCATATCCACGATCTGGTATCCGGACACAAGCTTCAGGTGAAGGCCAAACTCTCAGATGATGCGAGAAAGCCCCTGTTGACAGCCAATTCCCAGACCGGTTGGTCGTCCCAAATCCAGTAGTGCAGTTCGGCGGCACTGCGAATCGTGCGCACCTTCGTGGGGGCGACGATCACCTGCAAGGTGGAGCGTTATGTCTCGTGCGAATATGAGTCTGATAAAGGCAGAAGGATCGATAGAACGCCAGTGTGATCACTGCAGTACAAGAATCTGGTTATTCTCGTTGGAAAAGATGAGATATTCGAACGGTGTGCTCAGGTAATGTCTCGAAATAGTCAAGCTTGTCATCGTGCTCCTCGAAGATGATCTCTGGTCAATTCGCACAACAGACGACACTCCTGACGTAGCCGAGTATGGATCTGGGCCAGACTGCAGTAGTCCTAGGCAAAATGCATCCCCTCTTCGTATCGACAGAGTCAGAGCAACATTCTCGAACATTGTACGCGCGTCCGGCGTCAGCGTCCGCAATGACGCACCCATCTTCATGGCTGCATAGCTCTGATGAAAGACTTATTGGGTCTGTCAAGAGTACAAACACTGGAGTAATGATCAACTCCACGAAAGGAGAGGCTGCCAACTGGTGACGGCTCGGTGGAACCTGCGGAGAGTAGCCCGCTCGCGCGCTCGGATCGACGGCTGATATCTGCGGTATGCTTGCGCTAGGCTCGTAGCGACCAGAGGACGTCAGTATCACGTTTTCACCTTGTTCTGTAGCTTTCAGTACATACCTTATTGTGTCCATGTGGAATGATTGCTTTTGTAAGGTCTTTCGGGGGTTGCGTTTCGAGCTGCCCCTTGTTGCTTTGCTGGAAGCCGCCAGCATGCTTGCCGCGTGGGAATCACCTGTTCTAAATCTGGAGACATCTGCATGGTGTTGCTGTTAAATAGGATAAGTATTATATTGACTCCCAGCTTTCTTTTGTGGAAAGCATGGTATTGTGCCTGGATATGGATAAGAGGGAACACTCCTAGAGAAGTCAGTCGCCGTCGGAGCCCACCAGGCTCTCAGTTAAGTGCAGCATACAGAAGCAGACCCGGAAAGTAAAGGTGAGCGCTGGTCTGTATCGACGCGTCTGCTTGTTGTTTGGGTTCATGGCAGCTCATCGCGCATCGTGAGCGGCACCTGGATTACGTCACGGTCACGTGCTTCTGTCACCCGATCTCGGAACGCTGCACGTCCACGGGTACCTGCAGTCAACTCAAAAATCAGTATTCAACTCCATATTAACACAACCATAACTTCTGACACGGAGACGAGTCTCTGTCACAAACCCATATCGCCAAATTTACTTCGAACCCTTGATGAAGTCGCCGCGCAGCCACTTCGGCGCACCTTTCCTCACGAAGATCATGTCGTTCTCCGTGTCCAGTCCGAGTGCACTGAACCACTCCAATGCATCCTCTGGTACGTGCGGTAGCCTTGTCACTGATATTTTACACTGCTTGACCCAAGGCACTGTGCTTTTGGGATTCAGTACTAGCCTCAGACCGAATACGCTCGGTTCCTTCAGCTCCACGCTCTTGAAGACGCCCTCCACTGCGGCTTTCCACTCCGCTTCATAACCAACAAATAGTTCGTTGAAGATCGCGCCTCCCTTGCCCACAAACTCGTACTCGAGACCAGGCGTTTGGAAAAGGCTTAAAAGCAGGGGACGGATTTCGATGGGTGTATCGTATTTGCCACGGCGTTCGACATCAGTACGTATGGTGAGCCAGGCGCTGATGGTGTTGCGATCGACGGCAAAATCGCCAGATGACGGGTAAATGGTATCCAGGTAGTCTTGCGCATCGCGAATGTGCACCGATACAGCACGGTCCCTGAAGTACAGTTCGCGGAACTCGCGACGCGTTTGTCGTGACGCCTGAGTCAAGCTGTAGTAACCGCGCGCAGCCCAGAACGCTTCACTTGTTGTTGTGACACTGCGCCGGCTGACGTGCTGCTCAATAAGGCGCTGCTTGTCATTCGCGGCAAGCGCGTATATCCTGTTGCGCACCTCTACGCGTCTGTGAGCTGAGAACAAGTTGTGCCGAGGTTGGTATGGTACCTTGCGGAAGGTCGCTAAAGCCCCGGCCCGCAGACCTGCCAGCATTCACAGTGGATGGGTTCGAAGACATTGTGACGCTCATCGCAATGTTGCTACAAGCTTTTGCGCAAAACAAAAGCTTTCTTGGGAGTTCTAGGGGGTTAGAAGAGGTTGTGGAGAGATGCACATTAAGGAAGGTGAAGGGCTGAGTGTCAGCGTGCTAGCCGCATTAGGCAGGACGTAATCGTCGGCCGCTAAAGGATACGTAATTTGATTGTCGACCGAGCGACAAACGACGCATTCTCTCACACGTCGCCTTTATTCACTTCTTATTGACTAGCAGAGCATCCTCATAACGTAAACCTTGGGTCGGAACAGTTTGCCTTGACCCAACGGTCTACGCACCCGGGGTGCCTTACCATATTCGCCTCCTCATCGTATTCGACTAGCTATTAACACCAACGACTGACCTGATGCCGACACACACTACAGAGAGGATGCAACAGTTTTTGTGAAGAAAGCATTGTCCACAGTATCGCTGGACTGCGAGATCTTGCGCGACCAATCTGATGATGCATCCCACCGTGACCGTTCACACCAGGTCGCGGACTGTGGGAAACCATGAAGTCAAAGTGCCAACATCAGAAATCCATCTTGGTACGCACTCTCAATTAAACCAGCTGGTTCTCTGGGTCTTTACAGGATTTCGACACCATGCTAGATCCTAGCTTCGAAATGATACATGTCTATCGGGGAAGCAAGGGTCGCTGTCGAAAGCGGAGCGCACAAGCCGATATCATTGACGAGGCCTCTAATTGTACTCAAGGTTAGGCCAGGAAGACATCAAAAGTCTGGGATACGTAGCGATACAACTGTAGCGCTCGTGGGGCTACTGGAAGCTGCATCTCTGGTCGTCTCACTACTCTGTATAGGACACTGCATAACCACAAGCCATATATAGGATGCAGCATGAAGTAAAGCAGTGACTTCAGCTGTCACAGCTAGTGAAGCTGCCTATTAAGAGGGCTTGTCTTGTCTGAGGAATCGTGGCTCCGCATAGGCAACTTTCGCCCTTACCACCAGGAAGCTCTGATTTTTTCACTACGATCCTAAACCGTTGACCAGGCTCCGATTGGCTTATAGTCACCTTCACCTGTACATATCACTCAACAAAATTGCTCCTTCCACTCTCTTTACTCCATTCCCGAGACCTAACTCAACCAATCCCAATTTCAGATCGAGTTTATACCAACAGCAAATCCCTCCGCCCAACATGAGACTATTCAGTACATTGGCCCTATACGTGGTCGCTGGTCTCGCACTTCTCACTGCCGCTGTTCCCACTGTCTTCGACAGCATGACCGACGTCTCGCCAGTTGAATACACGGGTATGGCGCGGCTCTCCATGGTCTCCTGGCATCTACTTACTGACATCGATAGATGTGACTACCGCCACATGTTGCGATTGGAGCCCACTCAAAGTCCACCACGGCTTTGCCACTGTGGAAGTCTGGGTTGGCCGTCCAGCCATCAACTCAGGTTTTTTCATAGGCGAACAATGGAAAGATGGAATTGACCATGTAACGAAAGCTCTTTGTGCAGAGCGCGATGGAGAGTGCGTCGAGGGCGGCGCCTTCAACACACCCCGCTATTGCATAAATGTCGAAGAAGTCACTAAGTTGAAACCATTTCCTGTTGAATGGAAGTGGAGTAAGTAATGTCATCCGCATTGGGTACGCATGCACTCATCTCAGTTCTAGCCAAGTTGTGCTTTACAGCGAGAGGGAAGTGGGAAAACCCACATATCCATCAGCTTCTCGTCGATTCAGTTGCTATGGTCATGGGTAAGTGCTTGTTTATCGAGCATTATGCAAAATCACTAACTTTCTCTTTTTTGCAGTGGGGTTCACAGATGACGCTTACAGCAATCCCAACTGCTACGAATTTCCCGGCAGGATGATGTGCAATATCCCAAATGCAGTCCATGTCCGCCTCCCCCCTATTGGCGGCCAGAAGAACTCAAGGGTCAACTGGATGGACATCGAGATGACAGACGGTGGTGCTGTTCAGCATGAATTCCATTGTTGCGATACGCGCAATAAGGTCGATGCGCGGCTCGACACGCTACAAGACCGGATGAAAGAAGTCTTTCCTGTGGAATATGAGAAATTCAGGTTGGTAAATTGCATGGTTAACAGCTGGATGACCTGCGAACAATGTTACGAGAAGTTCAACGTCGAGAACTGCAAGAAGTGTGGCAAAAAGTGCATAAAGCTATAAGCGCTTTGGGTACACGTCGAGATTTCGCACGCGACCTTCAGGAATGAGACACACCAAGGGAATATCTCAGTGGCTAAGCTTCTGATTTGGGAAGCTTCATGGGTGGATAGCAGAGAGCGTTCGGCTCTTTTGTATCTTGTCATTACCGTAGAATCTCAACACTAAACTCATCCACTAGCAGCGGTTACGCGTTCTTGACGCCATGCTGTAGAGGGCTCAGTTGTCGCAACTGGTGTTTTTGAAAGTCTGGCTTTTGGGTGCTATCTTGTATGTACTGTCGTGCATTCCTCTTTGCAAGCCATTTTGTATAGCAGAAGCATGTAATCTCTTGTGACCTCCGCAGCGCGCCCTTATCCACCGCCACTAGGCTGGTCGGGAAGGAACCCCCAACAACGCCATTACATTTCCCCCTGCGTTATGCTCCTTGATCATCCTTGACATGACTTGCATCAGGTACGGGCGTCCTTCACCTGGCAAGCTAGCCTTGAACTGTTCAATCCACCGACCTGAGCGCTCCTTGTTCTGTGCAGCTTCTTCTGACGGGTTATCCGGGGTACATAACACGACCCGCAGACACTGCCAGACCTGTAGCAGGTGGCGATTGATGTTCGCACGGAGCTGGACGGACAGTTGCGGCGGTGTAGGGTTCGGAGTGGAATCCTGAGGATACGACGTCGGATAGCCTTGAGGTGCGGGTGGCTGAGGTGGCGACATCTGCTGTTGAGGAGTGTGAGGAATAGTGTAGTATGGGTCCGGGGACGACGGGGAGGATTGCACGGGTGTGATGCCCGGCTGAAGCGGGGGTTGAGCATATACCTGGTGAGCTTGAGGCTGGAACTGAGGCTGTTGAGTCTGATGTACTTGTCCCATCCGCGCTTGGGAGCCCTCCTGATTTTGAGTCTGCCGCGCCCTCTGCTGCTGCAACTCCATCGCAGCCTGCATGCTGGCCATTGACTGGTTGACAATCATGGTGGCATTTTGGATGTTCGCGAAAGCTCTCGCTCGTAGATCATTATCTCGAGAGTCGCGCACAACAGCCCCATTTTCGTGGAGGAGTTTGGCGATCTCCAAACGCTTGTCGGGGTGGAGGATGTTGTATCGCGGATCGTGCAGTATATCGACTGGTCGGAGAAGAGGAATCTGCTTACTCGGGTTTGTGAAGTTGTTCAAAGCTGGGCTGGGAGTAGAGCTCTCAGGCAGACCGGTGGCACTGTATGACTGTTGTTGGGGCAGCATAACTGGCGGGGGTAGCATCGGCGCTGGTGAGGTGAAAGGCGAGAGCATGGCTGGCTGATGACGTGAGTTCACCTGCGCCAGGTTCTCATCGATATCAGTAGTAGATGATGAGCGCAAGAAGGACGGCTTTTGTTGCTGAACAGCAGGCTGTTGATAGACCGGAGCATTCCTCATCTGCGTCTGTTGCCTAGTCATTCGCACTGGCTGCTGCTGCTGCTGCTGTGATGGGCTAAAGCGAACTGCTGATCCAGGCTGGGGTCGACGCTGCGACGCGTTCGACATGCTACGTTGCGCAATTGCCTTCTCGTGAACAGTGCGGACGCCCTGCGGTGGTAACAACGGATAGAGGGGACTGCCCGTCTGCGGGCGTACATCCAATCCGGGAGTAGTACTGCCGCTGCGTGTGCCACTCATATCGGTGTTAACGAAGCCATAGTTCGCATTTTGCACCTCTCTCATAGCTGCAGGCTCAAGCCCCTCGAATCGTTCGGCGGTCCTGTAAGACCAAGATCGTGAAGGCATGCTGTTAGTGTACCGGACTGGCGGAGGTGGACTCATGTAGTATATCGCAGGGTGTAAACCAGGTTCCTGGGTCACGACCAGACGCTCGTCGGGTCCGTAGATGAAGTCGGTGTAGGCAGGGAAGATGTCGCAGTCGCGCTGCAGGTCTTCCCAGTCCTGGTCGTGGAAAGGCATTTCTGTGATAGTCGGGTACCAATCGATACCAATGGCAGAGTGAGATGATGACGCGTCCCAGTGGTATTTCAGCGGTGGTGTTGATAAGTCCTGTGCGCTCGGTAGCGCCTAATGGAAGGCGCGCGGCCGCCAAGGAAGGTGCGGTGGAGGAGCGGGATGGTGAAGCTGACTTCTGGACCGGGTTCGTTTGCAATACTATCTTCAGAGTAGTGTAAGAGCCGGCTATGTTCACAGGATATTGCTGTAGCTGAGCGGTCCTCTTTGTACGACGTTGGGCTTCACGGCTCGGATAATCTCGCTTCGTCCGCAATTGTCTCTGAATGAGCTGGTTGTTAATGGTCTCCATCTAGACATGCAGAACTGCAAACATGAGGCGAGCGTAGAGAGCGAATGCGAGAGTGCACTGTACGCTCATATGGAGGATTCGAGCATTTTGGCTGACCGAAAGACGGAATCTTAAGTGAGAGTTATTTCGAATGTCTCCAGCCTACCAGGCCTTATCGTAGTACGCTTGAAACTCTGTTGCCATTCTAGAGTTGGGTGGTCAAACGACTTCAATTCGATATCGCCCACAAGCGTTCTGACGATTTCGAAAATGTTCGGCGCGTGGGATCATGGTAGGCAACCTACTACCTTGACACTGCGGGTGCCTACAATTCCAGTCGAGCACATGAGGGGAAAACGGAAAGCAAGAAAGAAACATGTCATATCTCGGTGCCAGCGATATAAGAAATGTATCCCTGCTTAAACCCATCTCTTGAAGTGTGAAGTGACGACATAAAGGAGACCGGGAATAAGTCGGCGAGATACGTGGGTTTCCGCGAGATCTCTTATTTTTGAATAAGCGCAGACGAGATCTGGTATCAAGCCTTGAGCATCCGAATGATGGCATCTTTGGAAAAAGGCGACGTATGTGGATGAAGACAGATGATGAAGCATGCCAGACGAGGTAGGTGCCGGCGAAACCATTCACCGAGACGCCAAAGAATGTCGCGCTCCCCACCACCCCACCATCGTTTGGTCGATCTCACAGCAAAGTTCCCACGGTCTCTACCTTGCCTCGTTTCCTCTCCTCCCCTCCCCTCCCTACCTACCTTGTTCTGCGACACCCTACACCGTCACAATGAGCGACGTGACGCCTACACCCGAACCAGAAACTCTCGACGCGCTACAATCTCGGCATCGCAAAGAGCAACGCGACCTCGTATCCCGTATAACACAAAAGAAGAAACAAGCGAGCAAAAAGACACGGAAGGGTGTCAACGATGAGTGCGAACGACTTGAACGCGAATTGAAAGAGCGGCAGGCGCACGAACTCGCTGTGCAGAATGGAGTGGCTGTGGATGCGGAGGAGCAAGCAGAGGATACACAGAGCTCTGGGGATGAAGCGCAGGATATTCAAGAAGACATGTCCAATCTCAGGGTTGATGGTGCTGGTTCGGATAGCAAAGACAGCAGCACCAATGGCGACTCCACCGAGCCCAAGAAAAAGAAGCCGAACCGTGCCAAAGCCCGCCTCGCCCGTCGCGCCGCCGAACAAGCCTCCATCATCGCAGAAGCAGAGCGCGAAGCAGCCAACGCGCCGAACCCACGCGAACTAGAACGAGAACGCATGGCGACACAATTACAAAAACACGGGCTGGCGCTGCACGAGATACGCGCGGATGGTCATTGTCTATACGCTGCAGTCGCGGACCAACTGCAGACACGGGAGTTGGGCTTGAAGCCGAGGATAGGTGTCACCATCAATGGGCAGGGAGACCAAGGACCGGACGCTAAGCCCGAGGCATATAAGACGGTCCGGCACGCAGCAGCAGACTGGATCCAAGGCCACGCGGACGACTTTTCGGGCTTCATGGAAGACCCGTTGCCGGAGCATGTGCGCAAGATTAGAGAGACAGGCGAATGGGGTGGCCATCTGGAACTGCTTGCATTGGCTCGGACATATGGTCTAAGGATATGCGTGCTGCACAGCGATGGGCAGGTGGACAAGATAGAGGCCGAGGACGAGGCCAAAGAGAAGGAAGAAATCTGGCTGGGATACTACAAGCACAGTCACGGTCTAGGCGAGCATTACAACTCGCTACGCAAGGTTGGATGAGGCTGAGAGCGGTAATGCAGATACTGGCATTCACACAACGGCTACGCTCAATGCCATCTCTGCTCCTCCGGACAATCTACCTTGTGTCGCCACATACTCACGCAGTCTCGCACGAGACCTTTGATCACGCCAGCATCGTGGGTCCTCCTGGGCGTATAGTGCGCGATCTTGACCAGCGCGTTGTCCGTCTCCTCTCTATCCGTCTTTATCACCACGCCCTGATCGTCATACGAGATATCCTCACCTGGCTGCTTGAGCAGCTCAGTGTGTACAAGCGGCGGAAGCGACCACGGAGGGCCGCCGGAGGATGCGGGCTTATGTGTTGGAAACTCGAGACAGATGAGGACACCACCCGTAGACGGAGAGTTCGCGGTCGGGCGGCGGAGAAGCGTGGTCATTCGAGATGCCCACTTTGGCCTTAGCGACAGAGGGAGCGCGCAGAGGAACTACTCATCGCATCAGTACAGAACACCAGGCAATGTTCACGAGGCACGTCTGGGACTCTGCTCACCGTAATGTCGTAGATAATGTCAAATCCTTCATCACCCTCCCATCCCTCTACATCTGCCAACCAGCCATCCTCAAAGAAATCCCCACATACAACATTCATCGTCCCTTTACCGATCTTCTCATCCGCCACCTTGTATTCTCCTTCCAACGGGCCCTTGCCAGCGTCCTTTAGATAACCCCTCGCAGCCTCAGCAGCATGCGAGGACACCTCCAGCCCATAGGCGTCATATCCATGCGCCGCGAAGAGCGCTACATCGTATCCCTTTCCACATCCCGGCACAAGCACCCTCCTCCTCTTCTTATCGTCTCGTAAAGGTCCAGCGAGTGACGCATAACCCGCCGATTCGCTGTTTGGTGGTGGTGCGCCGAGAGAAGGATTTGGGTCTGGGGACGACAATGGGCGACCACGCTCTTGCAGCAGGTCAATCAATGCGGGGTTCGCATGACCGCGATCCCAAGGTAGGAATGTAGAATCTCTCCATAGGTCGTCCCAGCGGTTGTTGTGTTCTTTGTCGGGAGTCGAGGAGAAGTGTGTTCGGAGCCGGTCTTGGTTCTGGGTTGCCATGACGTGGGCAATCAGATTGTGGTGTATGGCGAGGTCGATTGGGTTCGTATTGAAGGCCAATGGCTTGATAGTGTCGTGGGATAGCTCTCGACGATGACGGAATGAGGAAGCCGAGGCCACGATGGGCCCTTCCAAGCCATTTTGAGCTAACCCATCTTTACCCCGCCAAAACTTGCTCGTGCGACAACGCCAGATGTGACGATAACGGCCTTGCAGATGCGATCGGATCTTGCGCTGTCAACCTCAAGGGTGTTTGCACTTCGCTGGCAGATGCACACACATAAGCATCGAACGGGCTGACTTCGCTGCGGCCCCACGACAGATACGACAGATCTAAACCTGGCACATCCCGTGCCGTGAAGCTCCAATTACCCGGATCGCAAGCATGCTTCCTACTGGGCCCACCCTTGCTTCGGATATAATTAATGCGATTTGTTTCCGCATGGCAAACCGCCTGTCTCGGCAGTCACTTCTGCTTAGTTATCCCTCAACAACTGCGTTTCGCTGGGTTTCGTCTGGAGTCATGGCCTGGTTTGACTTTTCTTCGCCCACATTCCCCGTGTTGAGGACACGCTGCGGTGTACATAGCGTACAGGTACGCGTTGATAGTATGCTGAAGAGCTAGAGATAGCGGCTGTCGACAACCGAGGTATTACGACGCATACGGAAAAGAGCAGGTGCACGCGGAAATCAATGCAAGCTGTCGATTGACATAACCTTGTGAAGATCGGGTCGTTGCGTTACTTGGCTTTCTTTCTTTCTTGTCGTTTTTGCAACGGGCAATGATGGCAGACGACGAGAAGGCAAGATCGCCTTCCGGGATGTTGAAACAGGAGAATGTGCCGGACCGAGGCATCGAAGAAGAGACGAAATTAGAACAGGAAGAAATATCGGAAAAAGATATGTTAGAAACAAGCAACCAAGGGAACGACGACACAATGTCAATTTCGTCATCACGAGCGTCAACGGCTTCAACGCACTCCACCAATGCCGACCAGCCGAGAACATCGAATACGAAACAACGTCCAGTTACTCTGGCAAGAACCACCTCAGTTCTACCCGATGCCGTCATTGTCCCACGATCACAGCGCCGTGGACTCCTTGCGCGCTTCGCGCTCATCCCAGAGGTTGAGAACCCAGAACACTACGCGCGGCAAACGAAATGGCTTCTGACATTCATTGTCGCCTTTTGTGCCATGGCAGCACCGATGGGTAGCGCAATCGTTATGCCAGTGTTGCAAGAGATTAGCGTAGCTTTCAATGCAACGGAGACGGTTACCAACATGAGCGTTGCTGTATACATGCTTAGCATGTCCATCTTCCCGTTGTGGTGGAGCTCCTTCTCTGAACGATTGGGTAGACGTACGATATACATCACCTCGTTCATACTCTTCGTATTGTTCGCTATTCTCTCTGCGATCAGCACAAGCATCGCTATGCTGATCGTCTTCCGTGTTCTGTCTGGAGGCGCAGCGGCATCCGTACAGGCTGTAGGCGCAGGGACTATCGCTGATGTTTGGGAGACGAAAGAGCGCGGAAGGGCAATGGGCATCTTCTACCTTGGACCACTCTGTGGACCTCTCTTCGCGCCCATTATCGGTGGCGCTTTGGGGTCAGGACTAGGCTGGCGATCAACACAATGGTTCCTTGTCATCTACGGTGGGCTGACATTGATATTTATCATATTTGCTCTTCCGGAGACCCTGCATCGAAAAGAGAAACCCTCCGCGGACCCAACAGCCCTACCCAACAACGATGCCGGGAAAGAACAAAGTACAACGCTCGGAAGAAGCACCACACGTGCCTCCACTGTCCAGAAGACTAAGAGCATGTTACTACACCTACGCCACATCTTCATCGATCCACTGCGAATCATAGCATGGCTCCGCTTCCCACCCGTCTTCCTAACCGTCTACTACGCCAGCATAACATTCGGCTGCCTCTACATCCTCAACATCAGCATCCAATCCACCTTCGCCGCCCAACCCTACTCTTTCTCCACCCTCATAATCGGCCTCCTCTACATCCCGAACTCTGTCGGCTACCTCCTCGCCTCACTCTTTGGCGGCAAATGGATCGACAGCATCATGCACCGCGAAGCCCGGAAGGCAGGCCGCTACGACGACAGGGGCAAGCTCATCTTCCGCCCTGAAGATCGGATGAAGGAGAATGCGTGGATCGCTGCTATTCTCTGGCCTTCGGCTCTCATCGTTTACGGCTGGACCGCGGAGAAGGGTATCCACTGGATCGTACCTATGATTAGTAACTTCTTCTTTGGCATTGGCAGTATGCTTATTTTCGCGTTGGTCAATACCATGCTCACGGAGTTCATGCCCAGACGCGCTGCGTCTGGAATTGCACTGAATAACTTTGTGCGAAACATCTTCTCTTTCACCGGCGCGATAGTTGCGGAGCCGATATTGAGTGCAATAGGAAATGGATGGTTGATGACGATTCTGGGCATTTGGAGTGTGGTCACGGGGTGTATGGCGCTTTATGCGATGGGCAGATGGGGCGAGAAGTGGAGGGAAGCCATGGTTAAGGTTTTGGGGTGATGAAACAGGATCTGTGAATGATTGTTTCGTAGTTTGATGAGAAGTATCGTTCAGCATACTAGATGGTAGGCGATGTGATCGCGATAAAGATATCGAATCTCACACCACAAACGACGCCTCAACAAGAACTTCGTCTTCCTCGTCCAGCTCGCGCTTGATCTTCTCAGACTCGTCCAATATTATCCGTTCGATCGCCGCGTATGCAGAGCCATAGACAAGCCGCCGGTCGCCATTGTCGCTCACCGTACGTAGTACTTGCTCATGCTCACGGTTCATGTCAGTAGTCGCAGTGGCGATCTTTTCATTGGGCAGCCTGGACGCAGTCACGACTTTGATTTCAGCAGTCGCCTCATCTCACTGGCGCTCTGCCTGGGCCCCCACGAGTCGCTGGACTTCTTGTTGGTACTTTGGCAAGTCCACGTTCATCTCTTGTGTTATGTTGTCAAGATAAGTTGTGTGTCTCATTCGCCAGTCGATACACGCTGCCCATTGCTCGGTGCCATTGCGGAAATTGGTTTCACCCAAGTCACCAGAGCTCGCCGAACCAGCTTTTGCGATGTTGGAGCCCCGGCCGGTGTAATAGTATCCTCTATCCATTCGGCAGAAGATTTCCTCGCTCAGCCGACACTGCATTTCGTCCGCCATATGGCAGATTGTGTAGCTTTTGGTTTCGTAGCTGCGTGTTATCGATCCTTCAGACTTCAAATATTTGCCGACGTTGGTGACTAGCGCCATGATGCGGTCGGTAGATTTTTGCGAAGCATGCTGGTTCATGCGGCGATGAGGGTGGCTGGTGACCCCAAAATACTTGAAGGGATTGTTCACGACCGACTGGCTACTGCCACTGTCAGGGCTGTGTTGGAGCAGATTTCGATCTACCGCCTCGCAAAACGTTTCAATGCGCTCGGCACGAATTTGGCGCCCAAGGTAGCGGTGACGATCTTGCTTGATCTCAGCAGGGCTGGTGTGTCCACGAGTCTGGCTGTCGATGGTAGCGTTCTGTTGGGCTGATCAAGGGTCTCCGGAGATGTATAGGCGTAGGTGATCGATGATCCTGATGGCTGGGAGGATTGCCCTGCTTGTCGACATATGCGCGCATGTACAACGTGGGCACAAATTGATTAGAGAGCTCGCTGTCTCGCTGGGCCCACGGAGACTGGTCTGCAAACGGTATGCTCTTGCCATCATGCAATTTGACCTATCACTGTGTGAGATGCAGGTAGTGCGTCGGAAGTTAATCCATGGATCTGTCGTGGAGGACGGGTGCGGGGTGGCAGACGGTGAGAGAGGAAAGTACGACTCACGGCTACCACAGCACGCCACGTGATCACTGGCATTGGGAAGGCGAAGCCGCGCAAATTGACCTGGCGCAATAGCGGAAATGACAAACCTCCAACCGTACTTGCCTTGGTAACGTGGGATTCGCTCGTGCGCCCCAGAGCCATGGCTTCCCCAAACGATCTCAAGACCAATAAAGCTTTGCGTTCGAGGATTGATCAATCTCCCCAGCCTGAGATCCCCAGTTCCAACCCTGGGTAACAACTCCGCTACCATTACAACTTGTGGGGTCAATTACGGGGACGCACCATGAGCGACCATAAGAGACAACGGAGCAACGGGTCGGGTCTCTTCCGACCACGCTCAACCCGCCGCGCAAAATCGCTAGACTCCCCTAGCTTTCACTGGTCTCAACACTACGCAACTACTTCACAAGCCCATCGGAGACAGCTGCGGCGTCTCGCGCAGTCTCCAGACAACCCCCTCCTCCATCTAACCACGATGACACCGTTTCCTCTTCTACATACGACATCATCGTATCGCGTATGCTCTCCCGGCATGCCACGACTACCAGTACACACAACTCGGCATCAAGGCTTCCGCGAGTGGCTAGCCGGCGGCCTTATGCTTGAAGTTCACCAGACACTGCGGAAAGCCTCGGTTCGCTACTACGATGTCGAAGTAGTCATCCGAAAACCGTTCAAGACACCCGGTCCGGACAGCGAGTACAACAAGACTATAATCGTCTTGGCCGACATTTCGGTGGAAGATGCCCACGCCAACTGGGCTATCGCAGCACAAAAGATCCTGGAGCGGCTGACAGGCCGGGGGCGCGATGACATAAACGTCGAGATCGTGGACGTCGAAGCCGCCTGGGAGTTCAATAACGCCGTCATCCAAGACGACGAAACAGTGCAAGCGTGGCATAACGTCCATGTACAGATAATCCAAGAGCTTGGCGAGATGCAATGGAACAGCATTGATATTTCGAAGAGGTCTCCGGGCCAAGTCAAGCAAATGACTTCGTCAACTATGTACATCACAGGGTCTGATACGAACGACCCCAAGTGGTGGGACGAGATATCGCCACGCCTTCGAAATCGAGCTCATACACGGCGAGCCAGTCATTGGTCACAACACGACACCATTCGATGAGGACAGTCTAGGTAGATGTATCTTGGAGAGATAGATCTGAAGAAAGATGAGATGATAATTTGACTTATCTACGAGCAATACTATCTATATAAGGCAAATGTGTTTGCTAACAACAAAGAAGCAATCTAATTGTACATGAGATGAAAGCTAATGGAAACCAACAATATACGGTGGAAGATAGCTCATGACAATAGAGCTGATGTACTCTATCGGCTCATTCTCTATTAGCACGTCGAACTTGCGCATGATTTCTACGTTAGCTCAACGATGGATAGTCGAGCCATAAGAATGTAGGTCATGAGACGGCTTCACTGGTTGTCTATGCGACTAGGTATACAGGGTATCTTCAGTGTGCTTCCGGGTTCGGGTATATGTCGAAGTTACATGGAACCAAAAAATAAATTTTAGGCCTGAAGCATACATTGTCTCAAACATCACTCACTTGTTAACATTTAATGCTTCGTATGCGGTAACCTCGTATCAACCCATTGTATCCGACATTTTCGATTGACTCAACGATCTCTCATTTCATTGTACGCTGACACACGAATGGTACCGCAAGGCATTCCTCCAACGATCCGCTCCGTTCCTGACTAGATGGTCTCGGTTAAGGGGAGAACACTACGAAGCTCCTTAAGGCAGTCTTCCATTTCTGACTTCCATCTGCTCTGTGTAAACATGAGCAGCATGAGGATATTTTTGCGAAAGGTTGATATCTCGCGATTATCGGCAGTGGTTGCGAAAGTAGCGACCCGGTGATCCAACATCATCCGTATCTTCTGCTCGGGACTTTGGTTGTCGAATTCCTGCAGGGTATCTTGATCAAGGTCCTTTCCTTGCTCTTTGTATGCGTCGATGAAGGCACTGATTGTTCTCTCCGCTGGCTCCAGATAAAGCTCAGCCGCCTGGATTAGCATGCTGCCGTACCAATCATCCGCTGCTACCAGCATCTCGTAACGTTGCGTGATTTCCAACTCTTCATTCTTCAAAATGGAGTCGGTGTACTTGGGTAGTCCTTTCAATTCGGTAATAGCGTCTTGCAGGAGGACCGAGGCGGCCCGCGCCTTCCTGGCTGGTGGAACGATTATATGAACTAGCGCAGTGGTACCCTCTGGGGCGGCGGAAGACTGGTTATTTAGTTTCATCGTCCACTCCTCGAAGGAACCCAGGGGCCCAATATCGTCGAGGCTGGTCACGTTGGCCTTTGTTGTAAGTTAGATCGTGGTAATGCATTCGGGAAGCATACCTTACGTAGATGTTCTCTGATTTGATGTCTAAGAGACCCTGGGCAACCATTCTGTCCAACTCCTCCTTCTGGTTGGCCAACTTTCCCACAAACTGAGTCACTTCATCCGCACGTTCCTTCTGGCTTGCTGACCTTCGTTGGAACTTCCCTTTGATATCGTTTCCAGTCATGCTGGTGGCGTCGTAGTATTGGCTCGGTTGCACGTTGGTTCAGAGCGGACTTCGGGAGTGTGAATCTGGTCAGCTCCGTGCAGGAGAAAATCGCAAGCTTTATTCCAATCGCGTGCTTGATGTCCATTGTTTGTGGTTTGGGTACTGGGACCGTCGCGTTCAAGCGCTCCTCGATTGTCTGGTTGTTCATGCTAGATCAATGATCACCGGCTGAGTTAGAGTAAAGCACACCTGTGCGGTGGCAGTCTGCATGGTACTGATAGCTGCGCCAACACTTGCTCTGGGTTTGATGGGACTGTGACTGTTTACGTCCATACATAGCTACAGCTTACATCGTAACTGCTGATGGAGACGATGCGACTGGAGTACCCATACTCTGGCAAAGTTTGCGATGGTTCTGCAGATAGACCAAATAGCGCGCAAGGCGATATACCATCAGTCAAAGGCGTTGACGACGCGATGAGCAGGGCGCACTCTGGTCTGACTTGGTCTAAAGACATCAGGCTCAGAGTCAGAGTCATCCTCGACAAGGTAACGAGCAGGACGCACTGTGGTGGTCTAATCTGAATGCGAGAACGACTGCGGCACATGGTAGGGTGTCGAGAAGATTGGAGGGTATGGCGTCATGTAGGCTGGGGCGTTGTAGCCATAGACACCCCCTTAAAGTACTGGGGAGCCATATACCATAGGCATCGGTGTCTGCTGATACCCGTACTGCGTAAACGGGGGATATGGAGGACCGTGACTTGTCATTGAAGGATAGCAACCGATTTCCGTCTGCGCAATGACAGGCCCGTCGGGCAACCTAACTACTTGTTACATCCGCAAAGATGCTTCGACACCTTGAATGTCGGAACGGGTGTTATGTCGGGGCACCACTTCTAGTTCTTCACCTGAGCTTTCTGTCAGGCGCGCAGGCAGAGATAGCGTTGGACACGGGTGTTGTGGCTGGTGAATGTTATATAGTGCCACCGGTGAACCGAAGTAAGGGTTATGATGCTTACCAGACATGCGAACCTGTCTATAAGAGGAGCGAGTGAATATGTGGCTGATTAGGGACAGGGCTGACACAGCAGCTCGACACGATGATTGAACCTGACTACACCAATTCGACGTTACGCATTTGCTACTTCGGTGCTACCTCCATATGTATGTTGATTACACGCGCAAGTAATGGAGAGAGAAGAAGAAGAGTAAGCTGTCTAGGCCGAGATCATCTCAATCGCGTCGAGACTGATACTGGGACTCAAATATCCCGTAGACGTCTTTCCAGAAATGACAGAGATCTTCAGTATCTGATACTCCCTTGCGCTCTTCACCCACGCACTTGCCGGCACACTGTACTCATAAACGTAATTGTTGCCACGGTAGGTTCCAACAGTCAGACTTCTGGTATCGCCCTGACCCTTGTCTGATTGCAAAGCAGCGGTCCAGCTGTTGACCGCGATAGCCGGTCTTCCACCAGACATGCCCTCTGTGACACCGATTCTGATCTTTGCGCCATTGGCTAGTTGCGCATCGCTGAGGCGAAAGTAGACGAGGTGGTCGTTGTTGATGTCTTTCCACATGTAGCCGGGGAAGTTGGCAGCGGAGCTGGTACCCACAATGTAGTTGCTAGCATCCCATTTGGCGAGGCGCGAATCAGACGGGTGCATGTAAGTAGGCTTCATGGGGCTGTCGCCGAAGTTCAGGAAACCCTTGGGTGTGCCATCCCATTCACCAATTCGCCACACGACAGCTGTATCTGACGGGTCGTTGCAGGTGATCGTGTTCAGCGCTACGGTGCCTCCAGCAGTGACAGTAACAGTGCTAGTGTGAACCTCGAGCTCCTGCGATATCGTGTGAGTTCACGTCAGATCAAAGTGCTGATGTATGGCTATACTTACACCCTTGTATACAGTCAACGTATACGAGCCTGGCAGGATCTTGCTGATTCGCCAAGAGCCGGATGATGCGATGGCCCAGTATTGCGCCTGGGCACTCTTCAGACCGACAACATACTGGTAGCCGTTCTTTACGTTGGCCAAACCAACACCAGCGACGGCACCACGTTGACTAGCCGGAACCCAGCCATCGATTCCAAGGGAGTCCATCCAGTCCCAGTTAGCGTTGCGAGCGAATAGTGCGGTGCTCGGTGCGGCACCACTATCCGTGAAGTGGAGGACGGAGGGACCTTGCAGGCCAAAGCGCATCACATCAGTATGACCTGGAGCACATTAGTCGATGCTTTAGTCTAGGCCGAGAGTGGCTTCACGTACCCATGTTGTAGTGGTAGATATCATAGAGATCTGGGCCACCACTACCTCCGCGGCGCATCAGGCTGCGGAAGAACGGCCCACCCGACGCCTTCTCGTGATTCGACCTAATCATGTACATGCCGACATTTCGATTGGTATATCCAACCCAGTCGTAGTCCATAGTGCGACCATACAACTTGCCGGAGTAATGTTTGGACCATGTCTGACCGTTGAGCCCGTTGATGTCACCAGACTCAATGGCAGTGGCACCGTCCGGAACCCAGTCCGTGTCTTCGTTGATGTTGTTGGTAAAGATGTTCGGCGGAATGCGAAGGATGTATCGCGATACAGTAATGCTGCTGTCTTTCTTGTTCATGAAGATATAGACGTTGGGGTTGCCGTAGCGGAAGACGAGAGTGTGAACGAGCGTTCCTACTTTCATTGTCACCTTGATGACGTTGGTGTATTGCTGGATGGTGACAGTGCCGGGTGCGAGGCCAGATTCCACGTGCGAATTCTTCCCGTTCTGGCCGTTGTACTCAACGCCACGGTACTTGATCGAGGTCATGTCGGCGTTTGTCTTGCTGACCTTGACCACGAGGTTCGCGTTCGTATCGATAACATAGTTCTTGCCGTCATCGGTGTACCCCCAAGCTGCAAAAACAGCCGTAGGGGCCAGTAGAAGAGCAGTGACGGTCGCTAAGAACCGCATCTTGAAGACTGACTGAGGGAAGACGATGAGCTAGAGACCCCATGTGAATTCGTTGTACAAGACGGCTTTATAGCAATGTATTTACTTTCCCACGTGTGTGCGCAGATGGCTACTACACACCACTACAATACCATCTTTCCCGGTGGTAGTATTGTAGACTCCACGTTAGTTTCCCAGATTGAGCGTGCTCCGCCATCAGGATAGAGCACCTACGCCTTGCGGAGTAGTGCATGGTGCTGATTGTACAAGAGCCGAGCATGGGTATATAATTCGCCCCAGCGTTTGTAGTACTACTCCGAGTCTAGCACGTCTAGTACCCGCGTGCGCACCATATCATTGGTGGGGCTGGCTTTCGGTGTTTCGAAGCAAATCCGGGGAAATTCTCGAAATTAAGAAGGAAGCTTGGTAGGCATTAGCACCGCCGAGCGCACAAGTGAGAAAGGGCCCCATGAGCCATGATAGAAGCAAAGTGTTGCGGATAAACGTTGCGCAGTTGTGAAACGGGGAGCGAGATGTGGAATGAAGATGGATGGGCTTGCAGGAGTAATGAATGAGGATGAAAGGGAAGGGCCATGTCGCGGGCCGAGGTTACGCCGATTGGTGAAGTTTGCAGAGCCAGACCCGTGCCTTGTGAGTCCGCCCCTCATGATAGGCACATGCCGTCGTGACACACAATTTCAACGTTCTTTTCTCGACACAACTTGTACAAATCCACACCAAGGATAGCGCTACATCTCCCTGAACGGCAAGATAAGAAGGTTTCGACAGATGCTTTGGGCCACAGATGTCTGAAACTTTCAGGCGTCCAGGCACATGCCCGCTGTGTGCTGGCGATCCTGTCGTAATCTACGAATGCCATGCTTTTTGTTCGGCGCGAGGTCAAATATGGTTTGCGTCCGAACAAGTTTGACTTTTTGTGTCAATCTGTACGAGGAAGCTTGGTTTTGAACGCCACAAGATTTGCTTTGCCGCCGTCACATGTGCCATCTCATCGCAGCTCGCAACGCATTCCCAGCCTGACACTCAGGCAAGCACGCCGTTGACGTCCAACAAACTTCAAGTTGTCAGCGTTGGCTCTACAGGATTCCACAGAATGAGGCGTCGTGACTCACTTCTCATCCTCACGCATACGCGTTCGTAGCAAGTCCTTCCGCTCGTCAGGCTGATTCTTGACCTTGTCAATCTCCTGCTGAGACAGCGGCTCCGGCAAAGTCCCTGCATCCGGCTCAAACCACCTCTCTTTAGGCGTCTTGCTACCATCGGCGAATACTGGATTCGTCATTTGCGCTCTGAAGTCTTCTGGAAAGCGGCTCAGAAAAGTTTCGATGAGTTCAGGTCCTGTGCGACTGGATCAGTACTGAAACCTCCCGGTAGGTAGGATGCTTACTGAGTCCTTCCGCAGAGAGCACTTTGCGATCTGCAGTTAGCGAGCGCAGAACGCCGTCGTTACCTAGGAACTTGATACCGAGGATATCATTCTTGAAGCTTCTGAGAATGCGCGTGACCTCCTGCTGAAGTGGATCGCTGATGTCGTAGGATGGCACGCATCTCGGGGCGGACGATATTTTTGCAGTACTTGAGTCGGTCATGATGTTCAAGGTGGAGATGAGGGAAGTAACTTTTGATCGATTTCGGGGTATAGAAAACATGAAAGGGTATGATGCCATGACGCCGCCCGTAGCGACTGCAGATGAGCGTGGTTCGTCACTGGGCGGCCATGCGCTTACAAACAGATTGTCCTCCCTAGAAAACATTACAAGTAAATGGGCGCTTCGCCCTGTTACAATCATAAATAGCCATGCCCAAGATGGCATACAGCTCGAACGTGAAGTGCAGGACGTAAGCACTAAGCGCAGGATGCGCATTCGCCCCAAACGTTATCAATTCGTCATTATGACATCCGAGGCGCCCTGTCGATGGACATGCGAGCAGCAGCGATATCCATAGACATGCGGGGAGCGCGGCTGTCAATGGAGTGCCTCGACAGCTGGTAGCTCATGCGCCAGTCAAGCGGCAGGCGACCTTCGTTTGTGGTACGTCGAGAAGCGTGGCCGATAACGACGTGCATCTCGAACTTGTCCAATCCAGTCTTTTGCAAGTACGCTTCGTATCCCTCAGACTTGGAAGCCCGCTTCATCCACTCCTCACTCACCGCCGATGGGTAGACTACTCGCAGCAGGGGCTCGGCACCACGGAATCGGTAGTATTGTCGGATGTCGTCGTGGGGAAACAGGTGCAAGTCGATCCTCTTCATCGGCCCGTTGACTGCGGTAAGCCAGCTTTGGTTGCTGTTGGCGGGGGTTGGTAGCAGCTTGTTGAGCTCGCCAACGATCTCAGAGATGCTGCGGAAGACAACTCCCTCAGTGGAGGTGAAGCGACAATCGGTGCGACGCGTGCGGACAAGGCATCGGATGAGCGGCAACAGGTCAATGGGCTCCATGTCAAAGCACGCAGCATCGATGTCCAAAGAGACATGGCCCTTGAGCGAATCAATCTTGACCAGGTTCGATTTCTGGCTCCACAGGTCGATGATGTAGTGTGCCTTCTCCGCGTATATCGGTAGGAACTCCTCGCGAAGCTGGTGGCATACCTGCGTGAGGCTGTAGTATTGTCTCCGCTTGGTCGGGGTGACTTCGCCTTCGCGTTGGACCAGTGCCGGATCATCGTGACGGCACATCCTGATGGGCACCTCCTCGCTCATGCGCTCGTAGATGCGGTTCCTGATCTCTGTAATGCATTAGCACTTATACACATAGATAGACTAGGGGTAACATACCTGGCGGCATGTCGAGGAAGCAAAGTGGTGCGGTCTTCTTGGGTGCCGGGATGTCTTCAACAACATCGTCAACGTCGGGACTGGTGGTTGTGACTTCATCGATAGCCAGTTCTGGTGTCTCATCGTGTACAGACGGGGTACTCGGTTCGGGTTGCTGCTCGGGGGTGATCGCACAGGTTTCTGGTTCAGGTGTCGCACATCGCACAGGCGCAGCGGCGGCAATGTCGTGGACTTCAGGCTCGACTTGGGTATAGGCGACGGGAGTCGAGTTCCATGGCTCCTGTTCAGGGGTGGTGCAGCGAACAGGCGGGGTGACTGCACGAGCATGGTGTTCCTCGTGCTTTTGGTCGAGTTGCTGCGAAGGCTCCTGCTCCTCGGCTACTGACGATGTGTCTTGCTTTGTGGCGGATGTAGCTGTGACTAGGACCCTCTGTTCGACCATCCATCCTGCACTCGGTTTCGACTTCTCCGAAATGACAGCCAGCTCGACATCATCGTTCTTGCTGCCGCGACTCTCAAGACCAGACCGTACACCTGCGCTCCCTGGATTCGCGACGCGCTCGAAACGGTCTTCATTGGGCGCGGGGATGTCGTTCGGCTTCTCAGTCGTGGGGTGAAGGGTGGTTGCAGTAGTTCCATGCGCGTTGCTGGGCTCGGGCGTCGCGTCGTTTGTTTCAAGCGGCTCTGTTGACGTCTCACGCGTCCGTCTCGCCCGACCACAACTGAAAAGGTCGCCCAAAAACGACATGGCTGCTCTTCCACACCACCACGGCGAGTGCGTGGATATTAGGAATAAGTACTGTGGGCAAGTCGCACAAAAGTAAAGAGACCGGCACAACCGTCTATTGGGGCACCTGCTAGCTCATATGTTTCTTCAGTCAGGATTGCGGCATCGAGTGAGAACAAAGGCTAAACCCTTTCAATGGTCGATGAAACGCATTGGGCGAATGAAGTCGTCGGTAAGATTGCTATCACACTGAGATGACCGGGGTGGGGCACGTGCTTTACCCCTGATCAGCGCCTTCGATCCCCACTTTCGATGAGGCTTATCTTATCTGCGTGTGCGCGGCAGATTCACAATTCCACCGCCTGGCATCATGCCCGCATCTTGTCCAGCCTGCCGGTAGTCGCCGGGACGGTGCGCGCAGGTGATGTCTCTGGCGCAACTTACATGTCGATTAAGGTTGCCATGAAAGTTTGTCTGTGACCCGTTCACACGCGGTCAATGGGCTCATCTCGGACTAGCGAAAATCGCCGAAGAAAAAGCTTCGGTCACTTGAGCGCCCATGGCGGAATTATTTGATTCTCTATACCTTTATTGTCTAACGCAAAGCTCTTCAGGTGCGTGCATGCTTGCCCAGACATCGCAGCCTAACGATTTGCGGAAATGTCCAACGCGCGACGTCATTGCCAACCACGATCCACCACCACGGGAACTGTCAGGCCGGAGCACCTCATCAAATATTTCCGGGCCATCTTCGATATACGACATACATACGGGAAAATGAATATACAATAACAGACGATCACCAAATACTGACAGGCCACGATCCACCGGAACTAAAGACGATCTGCAACGATTGGACCCATCTGCAGGGCAGCTCCCTTCTCAACGTCTCTCAGGATTTTGGCGTTCTCACGCATCTTGCAGTATGTCCAAGCCGCCACCTGGAGCGCCAGTAACCCGGTCAAGATCTCCGAGTTGTTGATATACGTAGTGTATGGCGCGCCTTCATTGTGTGGGTGATAGTATCGGAGGCACAGGACGCGTACCGCGTTCTCGAAGAGGTGGTAGTAGGCTAGTCGAATGATCGCGTCCTGGGTTGCTACCAATTCTGTCGTATTCCAGATCATCGTCCAGTCGAATCGAGGCTTGACGATATGGTTGCGGTCGGTTGCTGCGGGATCACCAGACACGCCTTCCCAAACATTGTTGAGGAATGTTCCCAAAGACGTACATTCCCAAGCACGGAGGTCAATGAAATCTGTAAGGACGAGGATGTTCAAAGGTGATATTGCAAGCCAGGGAATAATCCAGTCTAGGGATCGCAGCTTCAAATGCAGCATACCTGAGAATATGGCTAAAAATCGCACGATGAGGCTGGTAGCTAAGAGGCAGTGAAGAAGCTGGTGCTTCATTTTCTCGAATGAGCGCGAATAGCAGGTGGAGAGTCCGATGAGGCTGAAGGAGATGAAGAGCCAGGTGAGTTGGCTCGGTGCTTCGAACATGTCTTTGATGATATTTGCTGCGTCTTCTGAATGATGAAGATCTCCGTACAAGTACTCATGATCTGATTTTCTCAAGTCTGGTATGGATTGCCTACCAAAAAGAATGTCGCATGCGGCAAGTGAGATCAGCCATGGTAGTATTACTAAACACCCAGTAGTGCCGGTCAGCATGATGTGTGTTTAACGGTGCGATCGACGTCGGAATTTGTTGAATGTGGAAGGTTGTGGCGTGAATATTGGAGGGTGCATGTTGACTTTATCTAGGATGGTGTACGCCTCCGTCACGCGCACCGTAGGGGGGTTGTCAGGAGTAGGTTAGGCTTGCAAAATTAAATATTTGTATAATACGTTACACTAGTAATAGCTCTCTATTTTTTATTTACAAGCAATATATATTACTATTAAAAGCTATTATAATAAATATATGTTATAGAGAATAGGCTAATAAAGGCATGTTATGCTATAATAGATATTAAAATTAATATAATATTAATAGGCTAACAAACCTCTAATAAATCTGCGCGACCTATTAAATACAAAACCTATTATATAATTAATATATAATTTAAAGCTTTTACCTAGAATATATATTAATTATATTAGGCTATTATTATATTACTTACTATTATAAGCATATTAAGTTTTAAAGATATTATTAATAAATAAAAAATAGAAAGCTATTACTACTCTAATATATATTAGCAAGCTATTAAAAGAACTTATATATTATATATAATTTTATCTTACAATACTTTTGCAATATATTAGTAGTTATTATAGGTATATATTATAAATAATAGGTTCTTATTATACTATTAGCGGCCTGTTAAAACTTTAAATAATTTTAAGAATTTAGTAGATATTACAAATAGAATATATATTAGATTAGATAGTAAAAGAGTTTAGTAGATTAATTTATGCTATATATTATATATATACGCCTACTCTAAAGAATATAACTCTTAAGAATAATATAGTAAAATATACCTATAATATAAATATTATACGCTACTAACTTTTATATAATAAAGACGTGTGTCTGTATTAGCGCTATAATATACTAATACTTAGCCTCTCTTTTCTCTAAAACTAGTACTTTATAAATAGATATAGTAATTAAGAATTATTATAAGTTATCTGTCTGCTTTTCTATAGGCGCTAATTAATACTTATATAGTAGTAGTATAGATAGCTAAACTAGAGAGTAATATTACCTATAGCTTTATAGCTAATAACTATATCTAAAATTAGAATTTACTTAATAGTATAGGTAACGTATTACTAAGTAAAAATAGCTATAAAGATTTATATATCTTAAAGACTTAATTTAGCAGAGTATAAAAATATTATTACTATACTTAAGAATAATTAGCTAGAAATATAAAGCGCCTTCTATAGTACTTACTCTTATTATTAAAAGTAGTGCTTTGCTTTATATATATAGAGAGAGGCGTAGTAGCAAAATCTATCTACTATATTTCTAAGTTACTCTAGATTATTATAGCTAATATAGCGTAATCTAAGCTATTTAGCTAGTTAGCGCAGAGCTAATAAGTGCTAGTATACCTAGTGCATAAGTGTTATAATAGCAGTAGATAGGCTAGAATGTAAGGTAGCTAGAAATACTACTTTTATTAGTATTAAATTTATATTAAATACTAGCTATATATATTATAATAAACTTTTAAAAGCTAATAACGCGTTTATATATTACTATAATAACGTTACTAAGTGCTCTATAGTGTTATACTATCTACTAGATAGATTAATTTAATAGTCTTTTAACTATTCTAATATTATATTCTATTCTTTTCTCTTATACTCTAGCTTATAGTTCTTATTATAGATAGCGTGCTAGATATAGATAGGTTAGATAAGAAAAGCTAGATATAGGTAGTATATAAGTATATAAACATTTAAGAGGGGTTAAAGAGTAGCGTATTAGTACTTATAGCTCTTATAGATTACTATAATAAGTAAGCCTTAGGTCTAAGGTAGCGTATAGCTAGAGGTAAGAATCTATTCTTTTATTAATAAAGCACTCTCTAGTAGTGTTAATATTACTAGTACTTAAGTAGGTAGGCTCTTTTCTTACTTTTTTTCTCTACTACTATTACGCCTATTATCTTCTTTCTAAGGTTTTATTTAATCTTATCTTATTTATAGTATCTAAGTTTACTAAATAGTATAACTCTTTTTATTACTTGCTAGCCTTAAAAGCAAATCTTAAATTTTACCTAATAGTAGTAGTAGTAGTAGTAGCTTCTCTTATTGTTTATAATCTATCTTTACTTTTACTCTTATTACTACTTACTAGCTAAGATAGTAACTAGTAATAGCTAGCGCTTAGGCCTTAGTTTATAAATCTCTACTTATCTTCTCTATCTCTATCTCTTTTACTCTTATACCTATCTTTACTACTAATAATAATAATAATAATAATAATACGCTTAATTATAAGATATCTAGAAAGATTATAGCTGCCTAAAGAAGAAGGTTACTAAGAAGAAGCTTACTTCTATTAAGACTTATAAGTCTTTTCTCTCTAGATACTACTATATATACTAATAGTACTTAGCCTTAGTAGCCTATCTATATAGCTATTAAGCTTACTTATATTCTGTAAAGCGCTATAGTTACTATAATATAAGAATATTATTTCTAAGCGTCTACTACTCTATAGTTATAACTTATATTTAGTAGTTAATAATAGACTATTAGCGTGTGCTTAGCTAGCCTACTAAGCTTAGGTAAGTAACTATAATAACTTAATAAACTCTACTAACCTTCTCTAGCCTACGCTACTTTACTAGCGTAGAAGGCGTAGCTTATATAAGCTTAATTATCTAATTATTATATACTTATATAGGTTATAATTACTTTAGCTAGAGCTACTACTAATAAGAAGTAGTACTTAGCTAGTGTAATAAAAAGTAGTATAATATTCTACTATACGTAGGTAAGTAATAGTAATAACTTAATAAACTTTACTAACCTTCTATAGTCTACTACTACTAAGAAGGTAGCTACTTCTTATAAGTGCAAGGCTAAAACTAATAAGAATAGTAATAATACTAAGGTTACTTCTAAGAAGGCTATAATACTCTATAGATAAAAGGCTAAGACTAATAAAGATAGTAATAATACTAAGGTTACTTCTAAGAGTTACAGTTAATTATTCTTAAGCTATCTATCTCTCTTCTCTAGCTCTATTCTTAGTTAATATACCTAGTAAACTTACTAACTAGGTAGTCTACTACTAGCGCAGCTGTAAAGCCTAAGGTAAAGATAGCCTCTAAGAAGAAGGCTAAGGCTATCTTAGATAATAAGAACTTAGATATTAATATATTTTAATATTATCTATTATAAAGTCTATTAATTTACTAGCTAAAAAAGTAAAGGTCTAAGATAACCTTAGCTAGTCTTATAAGTTAACCTTAGAAGTATTAGCCTATATTATTATTAAACTTTACTAACTAACCTTCTAAACGTTAGTACGCTTCTATTACTATACTTATATATACCTTATATTACTATTACTATTATTTATCTACTTATATATATACGTTGCTACTCTTTATTATTTATGCCTCTATTAGGCCTAACCTATACTTTCTATTACCTTATACTTAGTTAATACTTAGGTATAGAATATAGTATAATAAGATATTTATATAAAGACTTAGTTATATATAAAAGAATAATTAATATAAGTAAAAGTCTAAATATAGCTAGTATATAGAAGTAATAGAAGTTTTAGTTAGAATTAAGATAGCCTATAAGTATATAGATATAGCTAGTGTATAGAAGGCCTAGAAGATTATATCTAAGGCATAATATAGGCAGATGTAGAGGCCTAGTAAAAGTCTAGTTAGTAAGAGTAGTCTTTTATACTACTATTAGGTATTAGAAGTAGCTAAAGAGCTTTATATCTAAGCCTAGTAAGCCTAGATATTTCTAGCTAGTCTACTTTAGGCTAGGTAGAAGTAGATAGGTATAGTAGATAATAAGGTATATTATAAGAATTAGTAATAGTATAATCTTAGTAGGCTTATAGGTAGCTAAAGGTATTATAAAATATTAAAGTAATATTCTAGAGCCTTAAGGTTTAGAAAGAAGTAGCGCTGTTTAACTTTCTCTTAGATATATATATATATATATATATATATATACTTATATATCTCTACGTATTTTATAGATTAGACTTAGTAGTTTTTAGTCTAGATTTTACTCTCTAAGAGCTAGACTTAGTTATTTTAGAGCTACTTTGTGTATAGGTTTAGGTTATTACGCTAGTAACTTTAGAGTAAATATTTCTTAGTATAATAATTTTAGGTCTAATTTAAGCCTAGCTTTTATATAGTAAGAGTTAGACTTAGTTATTCTAGAGTTAATTTGCGCGTAGTTTTAGCTATTACACTAGTAATATTAGAGTAAATATTTCTTTATATAATAGAAAACAAAGCTCTTTATAGCCTAGCGCTAGTATCTAGAATATAAATATTCTATAAATATAACTATTATATTACTTTTAGCTATACTATTAGTAGTAGATGTTTATATAAAACTAAGAATAGATTAGTATTTAGACCTAGCGCTTATAGTAAATATAAGTATTTTTAGTCTTTAGTATAGAAGAATTATACTCTATTAGACTCTACTAGATAAGTATAGAACTTACTCTAATAGTACCTACTAGTACCTAACCTATATTTTTAAGCTAAGTAGAAGAGATAGATATTATAAGTATAATATATAGATTTACCTTACGCTAAAGGTATACGCTACTTAGGTAGTAGAAATAGACGCTAGTAGATAAATATTTATACGTTTAGTAAGAAGTAGAGGTAGAAGTATAGTAAAAAAGAGTAAGAGGTTTTCTATAGAAGTAGTAATACTAGAGAAGCTGCGCTGCACTAAGTTAAGGCTAGCTAGATAGTCTATATACTATTTAGATATTTAGACGCGTAAAAATATATAATATATTAGGTTAATAAAGT